GCCCTGATGAACTGGCCTGGCCTGGTCTTGTCGCTGTGTAGGTTGAAGCCATAACCGCCGGCGCCCTTCTTCATGGTGCAGAGTCGGGGCCGAAGCTCGGGCTGTGGGGATCAAGGGGGGTCCTCCAGTTCCAGTGTCCCAGACCCCACCTCCTTGACCCATGCTGGACCCTTCCCTGGCCTCGGAGAAGCTGGAGCGAGGCCAACCAGCTTGGCTCCTACACAGCAACTTGAAAGAACACAGGGCTGGCCTCGGGAGAGCTGCGTGAGACCCCACGCGGCCCCGACAACTGTGGGGCCCGGGAGACACCACCCCCACTCGGTCCAAGCCTCCGTTTCTTCTGGCAAACCAGGGGTGGGGGGGCCAGAGGGGCCCTCAAGCCCTCCCTTCTGACCTCCAAGGTTAGTGGTGGTTTTGACGCTCCCTCTTCCCTCATGGCTCAGTACGGGGGTGGCACTTGGTACCCCTCCCAGTATGGCCGGAACCCCTTTGCACACTAGTCTCGGCAGCAGGGAAAGCCAGGCTCTGTTTACCGAAAGCGGTCGGCATGTTTACAGTAAAGCCTTTTCTCAACCCTGCGGGGCCACAACCCCGCGAAACGGAGCTGTGAGGGCCAGGCGGTCACAGCCTGGACAGGACCAGGACCCCCACGGAACCGGAGAGACTGCTGGCCCCTCGGAAGCACGGATGGAGAGGGCCCCTGAAGTGCAGGGCCGGGCAGAGGGAGCCTGGCCGGAGGTGGTCAGGCACAGGCGTTGGGCTTTAGCTCCGGGCCCTCCTGAAGCTTCCGCAGCTGAGCCTAGGACCGCAGCCCCTAAAGCTGACTCCTGGGGCCCCTCCTCCAGCCCCCGGCAGTCTGGGGTGGGGGGGGCTCCCCGTCATCACCAGGTGCAGGGATGAGCCAGCAGGGGTCAAGGCCCTGGCCTGGGTTCCAGCTGCCCTGTTTATTAGGAAATGGCCTGGGGCAAGCAATTTCCTTGTCAGAGCTGTGGGTTCCGTTTATGAGGGTTCTCAGAGCCGCCTGCCATGCCGGTTGCCACGGCCCCAGGTGAGACAAAGGTGGAAACGCTTCACACTCTGCAACCCTGTCCCAAGACTGTCTCATGGTTGTCAGGGCTGGGGAATATCCCATTAAGCTGAGAAGTGAGATTCGGGGGGTGTGGGCAAGGCCGGTTGCTCTGCAACCCCAACCCCCAGCTGGGAGTGGAGGGGCGACGAGGGTTTACAAGCCTCCTGCCCCAACTTGCCAGCCTAGGCCCAGGTGGCAGCTGCCATCTGCAGAGGGAGTTCGGTCCCCACCCTCAGCTCTCAGGGGGCTGGACAGCCGTGCCTGGCCTTCCTCTAAAACGTCTGGGCGGGTCTTTCTGTTTCAGGATGTTGGTAGGGGTGTGGGGCAGCCAAGGCAGGAAGGAGGGGTACAGGCTGGTTCTCGCTCTGGCTGTGTGCACCCTCATCTGGGTCACGGCCAGAGGCAAAGCTCCCCTTCTCCCAAGGTCTCCAAAGCCCGCAGTGACGCTGCCCCCTGCAGCCCCCCCTGCAGCCGGGCACCCCCAGAGCCCTGGGATCTTGTTCTGGGAGTAATGAGGCGCTTCTCCCCTCTCACTAATCCCTCCACCAAGTGCCAGCCCAGCTCTCCCCCAGGCTGAGGGGGCAGGAACAGGTCTGACCAGCTGCTGCCACCAGGGCAGGCTCAGCTTTCTGCCCCAGCCCCACTGGGCCACCTGGGCCCTGAGAACGTGGGGAGGGCCAGGGGGCAGCTCCGATGTCTCTGTCTCTGCCCCTCCCCGCCTCCTCCTGGCGCCCGGCTGGTAACCCACAGCCTGATGCCAGCGGGTTCTGCAGAGGTTCGGCACCGGGGAGCAGGGCGACCTGGGTCCCTTCCCCCACAGTGGGCTGATGGCCAGAGACCCAGGGCCAGACCCGGAGGAGGTCCCTGGCTGCTGCGTGGACAGTGGGGGTCAGCACGGGTCTCTCCCGCCGTGGCCGCAGCATCTGCAGGAGGCGGCTGGCGGCTGACGAAACCACGGCCTTGCTTCCGGGCCGAGCCCGCGCCTGGGATAGGTGGCGCCTCCAGGAGCAAGCCCGGCTGCATCTGCGCTGGACGGGCGCGGGCTGGGCGGGCGGGGCGCTGGCCACTCTGCTGCCTGCTGGGCCGCAGTCTCCTCACAGGCCAGCCCGTGCTGCCCAGCGCAGGCCTGCAGCGGCTCTCCATGCTGATTCTCTGTACGCGGCACCCCAGGAGGGCCTGCTGTTAAGCAGGCTCAGTTCTGAGCTCAGGCTCCAGAACTTCATCGCCTTCTGGGGGTGACTGTGTCCGCAGACAAAAAGCCCCTGGGTTTTCTAGAATGGCCAGGTGCCCTCAGAGCCCTCTAGCTCCTTCCTTCCAGTCCCCCCTCCCTTCCCGGGGGGGGCAGGCTCCCTGCCTCCTGGGAGCCAGTCGCCTCCACCGCCCCCAGCTGTCTCCCAGAGCTGTCTGACCAAGAGGTGGCGGCGGCTGCTGAGTCAGGCTCCCCGCCTGGGTGGAGGCTGGCGCTGGCAGTGGCAGGAGTCCCTGGGGGCAGCCTCCCTGGGGATCTGTGGGACCTGGGCCAGCACAAAGAGCGTGGGAGGGGCCTGTACCCCCAGAGGGGGACAGGGCGTGGCTTCTGCTGGGGAAAAGTGTGAGCTGCAGGCTGTGGAGGGCTTGAGGAGTGGCCCCCAAGAGCTGGGGGGGGGGGAGCCTTGTGCCATGGCCCAGCTC